AAAAGAAAAAAGTCAATAAGCAGGGTTTGTACATTTTATTATCAGCTGAGCTGTGATGAAAAGAAAAATACCATCAAATACAGTGAAACTGGTGAAAATGTTGAAAATATCGTGATATAAAATTTTGATCATATCGCCCAGCTCTAATGCTTGRTTAGTTTCATTTTCAGTTTGTTTCTGTGTAATTTGTCAAATTTTCCTGAGTGTTTTTGGTTCCCACGGTTGGCTCAGCGCTCGGGTGCTGACCTGAAGGTGTTACTATCACCTCATTTTTTTGGTGTCTGAGAACGATTCAGGAGAAACCGAGAAAATGCATCATCACGAGAACCCAACACGTCGCTGAGCTCATCCTTTCAAACCTAAATCAACCCCAGACGTCCTCCCTCTGACTCAAGAGGGATGTTTTTGGAACCGTTTGGAAATATTCAGCTCTTTCAGAAGCCGCACAGTCGGTTTCAAAATGATCCGTAGTTAAATTTGTAGATYTATCACCAAGTTAGCAGCAAGCTAACATTGCTAACAAGAGTTCCGGTTTGAAAACTGGATTTTTTATTGGTCAGGAGTGATGTCATCAAGAATTTCAGCATTAAAAAGGGAACTCCTCCAGCTTCACAATGACATCAGACATTATACGAAGGTATTTCCCGGCTGAGAGAACGGCTCAATTTCAAACCAAATTTTAGCGTTACGGTTAAGGATTATTTCTGACGACATACCTTTTAGAAAACACGGATCTAAAGGTGAATTAGGAAGACTATATAGATGATGTCTTTATGGACTTTCACAGTATTTTTCACTTCAGCTTGTGGTCGCCCCGACTCGTTTCGCAGAACTGCTCACATTGTTGGTCGGTGTTTTGGGTGCTGTTCCTGCAGACAGTCAGAGGAAAGAGGAAATGATTCAGAGAAAAGTTTAAACGAGCAGCGCCGGACTCTGAACTCAGTCACTGAACGGACATGAATGAATGAACGTCTGGTTTTTGTCCTGGTCTGATCACATCAGCTGCTATATATAACAGGCTGTATGATCTTTTATACGTATAAATCAGAGTTACTGATTAGAACCAGATTTGATAACGGCGCTCCCGTTTGATTTTCTTCC